AGGAAAGAATGAGTGGGAAATTAAATTCTTCCCACTTGTGTCAGATCTGCCCTTATATAAACACATTAACAGTAATTTCATGAGGCGTCAAACATAGGAATAAATACTGAGGGGTAAAATAATGAGGTGTTGCTATTGAGCTGAACTGTTGCAGCTAATATTACTACATATGAATTATGCAGCCTGAAAGAAGGCATATGTTACAGCACTCAAACAGTCGCTTTGCCAGCTTCTTCTCATCGTTAAGTTTTGTGTCCCCTAGGTGAATCCACCCTTCTTCCCGCTGCAAGGCCAGTGCAACATTTAAGTAAACACACAGAAACACATACACCCGCATAAGCACATATGTATGTACGCACACTAGGCTGTTCATAGGAGGCCAAATTCATTCCTGCGAGAATTCCAGTTAAGTCACTGAAGTAACACCAGAGATTAATTTTGTTGAATGTTGAATAGACATTCAAGTCCATTTTTAGAATAATAGCACATTTATTAAGGTCTTTGGCTGAAATTTTAAAGTTACACTAATGTAAACAAGAACATTTTGTTTGTAATTTGCCACATCTATTACAGCTTTACTAGGACTTCAATTAGAAACTTAAGGTTCATTTAGTACACACACATCTGGTGCTGATTTAAAATGACTTTCTTTTTTCATCTGAGTACAGAAAATGACCTAAGTAGCCTTTTTACCCAGTCTGAACCAGCGTTCTGTCTGAAAGCCAGACTTGACCATTTAGCATGCTGAACCCTCTTTCCTGGGGGCTGTTTTTCTCCCCTTTGCAGTAAAAATATATGCAAAGGGCAAAGATGTACATAAATAAGCTATAAAAACGTGATGCACAGAAGTATGAATCCGACCATGGAGAAAACAGTGTTTGTGAACATAAGAGACCAGCTAGAAAACTACCAACTAGAGCAATGAGGAACCTCTATTCATAGGTTTATTAATCTGAATAGTTTTAGAATACATTCACACTGAAAAAAAGAACGAAAATGCCAAGTCCCTGCTTCTGATCATGTGTAATTATTGTACCCATTTCAGAATGTGAGAAGAAACCATGACAAGAAGTCCACCATGACCACTGAAGTCCCTTTAATTTCTGGACTCCACTGTGTAGATAGGTTTGGACAAACAAAACACCAGCACACACCAGCATTGTTTGCAAATGGCCCTTGCACGCTCTGAAATTAATGAGAACAGTTATAGCATATGACCTAAAAATGCAAATGTCTTCATATGGTAAAAGGAGGGTGGAAGTACACTGCTATCTGCTTTAAACTAATGAACTGCAGTATTCTCACAGTAAAAGCATCAGTGTGTGATCCATTTTAAACATAACTCGCCCCTAACTTGAGTAAGCAAGGCACCCATCATCATCTAGTTCATAATAATTTTTCCTTCTTTGTCATTCAAATCTGACTTTCTCAAACAACATTTTCCTAGTTTCTTCGGAGTTTGAAAAACATGGTTCTCGCACAAACCTTTTCAAGCTACAGTCTAATATGTCAGCTTATCAAAATCTGGTTGCAAAGGCTTGGACGTACATATACTGCCCTTAGGTGGTTACTGTACAGAGTTTCAATACCTTTATTTATTCTGTGGTCAGTCTTCAGGAATAAACAAGAAGAATTCTATGTATTTCAGAAAAAGCTGGCTCAGGTCGCAGGAACAAAGAAGATTTCGTTTTGGCATGAAAACATGAGGTTATTCTTCTTTCTGAATAGCTGCATTATGTTCTACTTTCTGATTCATTTATATTTACTATTTAAATAGTAAAAAGAGTTCCAATTCAGGAAACATAATTTGGAAACATGATTCTATTTAAATTCCAGAAAAAGCATTAGCTTCCAAAACATAAAAGCCAGAAGCTTTATGATAATTGAATCCTTTTCAGCAAGTATAATTCATCAATAAAGTATTTCTCTAATGATGTTATTGTTTCTTTATTTAACTATTTTTGAATTTCTGAAGCTTCTTCAATGCCAACTTCCAAATGCTACATTAATCATTTGTATTTTTAGAGTCCAATTTTCCTACCAGAGACATAGGTTTCGTAACAGTTACTAATGCTCTGGATCTGAAAAATTAGGCCTTTAAAATACAGGCTATCTAGTCAGTTAAGATGTCTTGTAACCACTACTTTGTACTATTAGATCCCTAATGGAATAAAGAATGAGTTTAAATTTATTCTAGAAAATAGGATTGCCAATTTTTTTAAATAGGGACTATCTTTTATTCTTTTTTTACAGTGCTAGATTAGAAAGCGCCTGGGCCTGGAGTATTAACAATGTGCTTAATAGATGATAATGAATAGGCAAAATGAGTCAAAAGCAACAAAGATACAGTAACCCAAACTCTTGGAATAATTGGCTGAAAAACCTAGTTGCAGCCATTTTTTCATGGATGCGTCATATGGATTTCATAACACACCATTCTGCTGTGTTCCAACGTAAACTAAGGACAAGAGAGATAAGGAAAATAAATTTTGCTCTCCTGTTCCAGTTTAGAACTTACTCAATTATTGCTTTCAACCACAAATAGGAAATCCAAACTAAACCTGGAAATTTAGGGTTATATACACTTTTCATAAAGAGAATTCTATGGAAAGACTTCAATTTTCTGCTGGTACTACCAACATGACAACTTCAAAAGAAATGTGCATTTTATAGTCTTTTACGTTTATCTCCATTATATAGTCTTGGACTATTATTCATGAAGTCAAGTTTTCTGCGTTGTAAGCAGAGGAAATATTATAGAAGGAAAAACTGCACCACTGCAACAGCCACAAATTAAAGGTCATAAAAAATGGTGGAGAAAAGCAAGCACAGAGTTTGGCTAAATAAATAATTTTTGCTTGATGTCATCACTAGCGAGATTAACTAGAGAAACAGGCTCTTGAGAAGTCCAGGGCTTTACCTTTCACCATTTCAAGAAATCCCACAGGCAAGCAAGATGGATCTAAGATAGAGATCTAACTACTTGGAGCACTACTGAGGTATGTGTTTGAATGTCCATATTTCAACATAGGATGTGATTCTGGGCAAGGACCTTTCTTTGGAGTAAGAACCAATTTAGGTCAGGCTGCTTCTTCCACGTTTGGGCAGTTGGCTGAGCAGTGGCTACTCTTGCAGCGGCTCAGCACTGTCCCTCCTGCCAGCTAGCAGGTATGTGGGACAAGGAGGAATGGCATCAGAACCTCTTGCTTGTGAACTGAACCACAGTCCATATTTTTTCTGTATCAAAAGTGAACACCCATCATCACAGTCCCAAAAAGTAACGTTCAGCTATGATGGAACTGTCATACTGGGAAGGTCTAAACAGCCTGTCGGATCTAGGGCGCAACCTTGGCCTTTGATGGACATATTAAAAATGGAATAAGAAAGAGAAAATACAACCGAATAACACTAACATGCCAGGCCAAGTGATTTCTCCAATCCCTGTGTTCAGGAAGTTACCTTTTCTCCAGCTAAACTTTCCAAATACTGAACTTATTCAACAGTGTATACTAGAATAAGGGTTGGGGTTTTTTTCAGTTAGTCAATAAGTGACAAATCTTGATTGTCATTACACTGTTACCATGAACAGGGTCTAGATGTACCTACATCATCCAGTTATTAGCAAAATAACCCTTTTTTTTCAAGCTCAAATGTTTTTGCCTACAAAAAAAAATCTTAATTAAATTTTCCTTTAAAATCTTAGCCTCATTAACTATAATTTTGTAATAATAATATGCCCAGTGTGAATGAATGAGATGCAGTTTTGTTCCAGTATTTTTCCTCTATTACACCATAAAACAATCCTAAATATAATCCTAAAGCTTGTGTCACACCCCAACACTCTATTAGTGGTTTCATACAGAAGAAATGAAATGACACTCTCCTTATCTCAGTCTCTTTAAATCATATTTCTGAGATGGCACATGTTCAAGTTTCATCATGGCAAACAAAAGAAGCTGCCTACAGTGCTTAGATGACCCTGATAACACTTTCCTGAAACAAAGCCTCTGAGCTACAGCACATTTTGTACCTGTTTTTGTTCTTCTCCTAAGCCGTCCCACATTGAAGCTACAATTTTAGAGACTTCACCAAAAGTAGCATTAGGGTTTTGGCCCTTGATGGCTGCTTGGGTGTCTCGAAAGAATAATGCATAGGCAGACACAGGCTTCTGTGGCTCATTTGGGTCCTTCTTCTTCTTCTTTTTGGGAGTTTTGGGTTTCTTTCCCATATCTGAAGCAGGTCTCTTCTCTCCACCATTGACCTGTAACATAAAATTAGAAAATTACTGTTTTAAAAGCCAATTTAATTCAGTCCAACCATCGTTACAGCTTCTGTGATATAAAGATTTAGGATTTTGCATGCAAAAAGTGGAATTTTAGTTGCCGTCTTCGATAACCCAAATGTGGACACTGTCTGCCTTAGTCACACATAAAATTTATTACAAATATTTCAGATTCTGTACTTTTTTCCTTTGAAGTGCTTTATATTTTGCTTTCACACAATTGCTATGATCTCATTTATAGTTCATGTGGTCATCTTTTCACCTTTTCTAAATTTTATTGCTAATGGCTATAACATGCACATAATGAGCAAATTCAAATTAAATTCATTTCATTATAGTCTGACCACCAGTTCAACCACATGAACCCCTGCAGACAACAGGAACGCTGAAATTTCTACCTTGTCCTTATCCTTGCCCTTTCCCAGAACTACCTGTGTGATCTGCTCTAGGTGATCCTGCTCTGGCAGGGGGGTTGGACTAGATGATCTCTAGAGGTCCCTTCCTTCCAACCCCTACCATTCTGTGAATCTGTGAATTTCTACTGCAACTGGTGATATACCTTCCAGGGAATTTCAAGAGAATCTGATTGTGAATAAAATGATTAAAATTATAGACATTCCCCTACACACCTTCTAATTAAAATCTGAAAAAAACAGAGCTTTACCAATACAGACAGCTTAAACCCCTTTGGAGGATCAGTTCTGATCCCGCTGGATTTAGTTGCACAGTTTTTTCTTCTGCTCAGGTGAAAGAGGAATGGCATATGAAGAAAAGTGCGGGTACATTATTTGTGTATCATCCAAAGTAAACTGCACATGAGCATTTGTGCAAATTTGTTAAATGCGCCTACACTTTGCCACTGAATAGCCCAGAGACCCTAATCACCAAAGTACCCTACTTCCTAGAAGACGTACAAGCACAGGAGGGGACTGTCCTGATTCTTGGAGTTTGGAGCTCCATGACAAAGCAGCCTCTCTTGATATGATCACTTAGTTCACTATACCTGTAGCAATAATGTGTGATCCTACCAGAGGGTTCAAAGGCTTTTTCCTCTTGTTGGCATGGCCAGAGAACTGTGCATCATAAGTGTTTTGAAGTATGACAAAATCAGGAGTATAAAAGGTATGCTGTAGGCTAAGGATCTACGAGGCATGACTTTTATCACATCCTTGTATTATTATTTTTTTAATAATGCATATCAAGTGACATAGGAGAATGCAGGTGTTCAAAACAGTGGAACTGCTTGAGGAAATGGCTGGAAATTCTCATTTTGAGCAATTTTTTTTTTTTTAATATACATCACTATTCGGTGTCCAACAGGACCCAGGTGACTGTGGTGAACTACCTGGATCTCTGTGGCTTACGAAGCACAGTAATTGGCCACAATTAGAAAATGAAGTTGCTTGTTTCCTGAGCATTATGTTACAATAAATGCATCTTTAATACAAGGTTAGTGGACATGGAACCTATTGGCAGCATTTAGAAAAACAGCAGCAGTGTGCTACTCATTATTAAGTTATCCAACTTTTAGCCTCTTGCTATTATTTCATTCTACAGGGTACACAAAACTACCAGCTAAATGGTAATTAACTAGGGCTCCCTACTTAATTTCCCAGTATCACTCCAATCTCTTCAGACAGTTCCATGCAAACTCCATGAGCAAGGAGGCTTGACAATAATTTGGGTTACAGTTAAAATTTGATTTGCTAAAGTTGCCCTTTTTTTCATTTGGACCAATGAGATTTAAAAGTTCTCTGTATATCAGGATACCACCTAACTTAAACTACCCTTAATCTAGGTGATAAACTGCAGAAACTTGTGTAAGAAGTGTTTTGGTAAGATGTTCTGAGAACAGCTGTAAAATCCTATTCTCCAACCTGAATGATCAAGAGGCTTCAAAAACCCACTGTTAAAAAGAGAGTACTCACAGGGGAAATTCTGTTTGTCTTATATGAAAATAACGGAATAAAAAGAATACCAGAATTCCAGTACTAATAACCTTGCAAATGGCTGAGATGATGGCCTACCTTATGCTCCCATCAGTCTATCAGCTTCATAGACTCCACTTCTAACCACCAAAGCAGAGACAGATGGGAAATAAAATAAAAACCATATATATTCTGCTAGGCATAGACTTGCACCTCAAAATCCCTGGAGGTGTAGTTAGCTCATGGTAATCCACCTCCTGTCATGGCTTATTGCTTAATTATGGTGATGTATTTAACTTATTTATCACAAGAAAGCAATAATCTTTCACTTTAAAAAAGTGTACATTAACCATGTTGCACACGTAATAGATCACAAGAATATCTAGTGTAGGATTTAAAACTATCAAGTAAGGCACATCGTTGATATCTAAAGGTCCCTTGAGAAGCTGGAAAATGTCTATAAGCATATTTTAAATAAACTGCAATAGTACCAAAGCCTTTAATGGAGCTAGGAGAGCTGTTTTATGCACACTATCTTGCAGTAATCGCCGTAGTTTAAAATAGATTTTAATCAAGCACCATCTGCATAATAGGCTGAACAGACAACTTAGAATTCTACTTATAACTCTTATCATATAAAGTAAATATTGTAAAACCTCTATCACATAAAGAGACTATGCTGCAGCAGTTCTTCAGTAATCATGTTTCTGTTAGTTAATTCTTCCTGCTTGCAGTCCTCTCACTATCTTCCCTCTGAAATACATTATTTGAAATTCTCTCATAAGTGATATTCAAATGAGCATGGAAGAAAACCCTGTTATCCATCTATGAAGACATACATATTTGCAAGCCAGTAATGCTTCCAGCAGCTCACAATTATGCTTGGCAATAACGAAATACATGTTTAACGATCCAACAGCATGAATTATGGCAAGAATTACATAAATGTAATATTCCGATGTTGAGGTGGTCAGAATAAAGCACGTGGTAAGTGGCCACTTTGTTCAGACTTTTTTTTATGGTGACTTGCAACTACTGATTTTTAAGTTCTCCTGTTTTTTTCTTCTTCTAACCACAGTCCCACATATTAGAAGTATTAAGGAAACTTAGGGATGCACACCACTTGCAGAAACAATATCCTTGGACTGACACTATCTTTTCTGTTTCCATGGACCTAGAAGCTTTCTGACTGTATATATGTAGCCTTAAAATTATGCTACTGCTAACTATTGTCACAGAACTTATGGTCAAGCAACCTCAGCTGTGTTGCTTTTAGAGCAACAGTGTGTGGGGCAACTGAGCCCTCTCTCGTGCAGCTCCTTTCTCATTTTTGGGGAAGGGAATATATGACATTTAAGTCCAAAAGGCCTATATAAAAGAGCCTTTATGAGAATGAGTACTGCCAAAATATATTTAGCTGCTGCTACTATTAGTTCTGTGTATGTTGGATAAAGCTTACAACAATCTGAAAATTTACCATAGAATGAAAATCCAAGAAGCTCAGTCCACGAACAATTACGTTAGTTCGTAAAGTTTCCTTATTACTGGCATTTGGAATATGTACATTAAGCTGAAACGGTCATTTCCTCCATGCACGGAAAACAGTGGTTCACTAGGGATACAATTACATTTCTAGTCCAAATGTATACAGCGTACATATTGGTTCATGCCTTCTGTCATCCTTCTCCTATAAATTCATGCAAACATGAACAGGACACTGAGATCTCTGTTTTTTTTTCTCTACATAGAAATAGGTATGGTTGTTAGGGATTTATGTACCAAATCTGCTCTCAAAGGTTTCTCTTTCACACGTAAGGCTGGGGTGTTCAGCTGGTATAAGCTAAGGGAGGTCATCTGACAGTGAGGCAATTTTCCATTTGGAAATGTACTTTGTCTTTTTGATCAATGTTGGTACGTAGGCAAACCTCTTCTCCTGCTGGTTAAATAGGGAGGACGTCACCGTTGCTATTAACGATACGGTGAATTCAGAGGGAGATGGTTTTTACACAGTCCTCGTGGCAGGAATATCTCACTGACTTCATGAAGCTGCTCGAATGTGGCGAGCTCCAGCAGCTACTACATGACTGCAACACGTGCGCTCCTACTCAAGGGCTGACTGACGCGCTCTGGCCCTGGTCTATTAAGTAATACCACGCGGCTACATGACAGTTCATCAAACAAAGAGAAAATTCCAAATTTAGCGAAGTTATGTTCAGGTAGAAGACAGATGTTCTCACAAGAGACAGAATGGTCACTGTATCTCTTCCTATCCCCATCCAGTGCCCTCTTTCACTGGGAGGATTTCTGGAGCAAGAAGAACCCTCACAGGCCCCTCCAAACAGTTCTGAGAAATTGTAATGTTGTTGTGGCTGGGAAGAAGGAACTCCACAGAATGCTGGTTTATTCTAAGTATGCCTACCCATTCAGTGGCAGCTTACAGGAAGAGCAACGTGACAGAAAGATACACAGCGGAGAGGTTTAAGTCGTAAACGACAACAGAACACTGACTTGTGCGGATCAGTCAAACCCTCTGTCTTTGACGGGGGGAACTACAGCAGAACCGCTGCATCGGATCTGGCGTGCGAGCCCACTGCCCATCGTGGTGGTGGCCAACTTCAGGCATTTTCATGAAAAACTAAGGAATCCCACAGAAGACAGCTATGGCACAATCTGGCACCGATCCAGCTTGCAGCTTAAACCCTACTAGTTGGATACAAATTTAAGCCCTCTGTCATTATTAACTAAATTTAATATCCTTTAAAACTTTTCTTTTAGCAGAGAAATTATAATTATTGAATTTTAAGGCAACGTATCAGCTTCAGCACGCTGAATTTAATTTTGTGTTGTGTATTGTGCCTTTTCTCATCTTTTTCTGCTTAGATTAATCATGAGAGAATTTTAAAGAGAGTTTTCCAAAATAACACGTTTTTTTAAAAGCTGAACACTATATAAACTGGCTTCCAGAAAGAAAGGACCAAATTTTACTTAGTCTGCAGTACTTAGTATTCCTTTCTTGAAAACATTAGCTTCAGACGAGCACGGTCTACATGAAACCACAACCCCACACCCTTGCTAGAACGAAGTGTTGCAGTGAAAAAGTACATGAAAAATAGGGATTAGATGACAGAAATATTTAGTAGAAGCAGAAAGGATATCTTAATTATTTGAGTGGGTGGTTTCTCCAGAAGTTCAGAGCATTTTGCACACTCCCACCAATATATGTAAAAAATATTAGCAAGGCAACAGGAGTAGCAAATAAATTATTCTGAAAAAGTAAAGGCTGCCTGGAATTATTTTTACATAGCTGTATTCTAAAGTCTCCCTCAGTAAGGAAGTGCTCATTTAAAATGTATGAATTATTCAGTAATTTTTAAAACCTAAAGTTTGTGAAATCAGGGGTAAGTCCTGAAATAAAACTTTTGAATCAGAATTTATTCAAAATGTAGTAAAACATATGTCTCCAATTACATGATTATTTTATAGCTTGAGGCATGAAAAACAATATAATTTGAAAACAAATCAGACTTACATTTCTTGACTGGATTATACCTCCTCAGTGACTCACAATATGTTTTCTTCACATTCCTCCCAAGTCTGCAACTTTTCCCCACAAGACGTGGCTATGGTGCACTACATGGTACACGCTACATTACAGGGCTGCTCTAACAGGACTTTTTTTTGTAGTGGCCATAATATAGAGCTAAAAGCGTTCTTAATCTCTATATGCTCTATTCCTGGTTTATGGGATAACTTTGTGCTAAGTACCACTTTTTTTGGGTCTCAGTTTTTGTGTCTGCAAAATTAAGATAATATTCTTGTGTATTTTTTGGGGAGGTTTTCAAGATTTTGGGAGGTTTGAAAGGTTTTTGCATGCAAAACATTCTACATAAATTGAGATTTATTCTTTATAGAAATTTATTGTGTAAATTACTCTGATTAGTTCATGCCTGTACTGACACTAAAATGAAGCTTAAATATGTCATGACGGAGTGTTGGCACCTCCCAAAGTATAAATACATAATGGGTCTTCAAGATTTTCAAGTTAAGATTTTTAAAGCTTGTAGAGGATCTTTCTGTTCTGGTTGCTGTGTTGTTCTGTTTACTCATCCTGTGACCAAGTAGCAAAGACTAGCATATTGTACAAACTGTTCATACTTTTTATAGCAGTAACTGGATCTTTAACTGGCAACAAACATCCCTTCTATGCAAGTGAGAAAACTCAACATTCACATTTAAATCCTAAAGGAATAGCTATCTTCTGATTGTTTTACAGGATTCTGGTTTGCTCTCACAAAGAGGAATGATGTAATTTACTCAAGCTGTCTGAAGAATTGACTGGAAACTCTAAGTTCTGTATTCATAACCCTTTATTCAATTCAGTCAACCACCAACATTGTATAAAGTATCACCTTAATTACTGTGGCCATGAGATTCATTTAGCAGGTCCTAAAAATATCCACCATTTTCATAGTAATCCTAGCATCTAAGCCTACCTTAGAGCTATCTTCTCCTTCATCTTCATGGACTGAACTGGATGGTGAAGGAGTTGCAGATTTGCTTCCAGGTGGAGAGGGCGAGTTGTGAGGAACACTGTTTCCACCCATATTCAAACCAAGCTGTGCACTGAGCTGGGACTGGTTAATAGTAGTCAGCTGCCCGTGCTGCATCATTCCTGGCTGCCTAATATCTGCAGGTTGAACCCTTGGCCTCATGGTTGCCATCTGAGGATGGGAACTATACTGGGCTCCTTCTGTATTCCGTAAATCTTGCATCTACAAGAGGAAAAAAACTGTATTAAGCATATCACTAAAAAAGTGTTCTGTTCCTTTAGACCTTGGTTGGCCTCATTTGGTATATAAGGCTTAAAAGAAATGGCAAGTACTTAAATAAACATGTAAATAATGGAAATAAACAGAGTAAGGATATGATTGACATTTGCATAACACTGACTGTTATAAACTATTCAGACTCTAGTCTCAGCCCATGGGAACCGCAAAAAGCAATGAAAGCTTGTTACTTTATAGGGGGAACAAAAGGGCAGTGCTTTCTGTAACTGTGCGTAGAGTATTTCAGAAATGCTAACAAACAGGGACAGGTTTGCACTCTGAAGTTCAGAACCAGATCAGAACATGAATATCCTCAAAATTCAAGACAATTTCCAGATTCTACTTTTCTTCTTAGGATTTGTGTGTCTGAGCTGTGAATTTGAGACCTGCAATTTTCAGGGTTTGAATATCCAGTATTAGGTCCAAATCTGTTTTGCCTGGTGCTGCCGAATGAGTTACTGGAATTTTCTGACAAGAAGGATGCATTGATAGACTGATTAAATGATTTCTGAGTTGATCTGCTGCTAAGACATATATGAACAGAAAGCTTGGAAGTCATGGGATTGACAAATGAATCCACTGTGCTATGTGGGTCACCGCTTCTTAGCATTAACGAGACATACTATTTTAATGCAAGCAACAAATTCAGTCCCTGCAAGGATAAGAATTAAAAGCACTGGAGGATGTAACTCCTTTCTTGTCCAGAGGTCAAGCGCACCGTACACTCACACACTACAGCAGGTCGCCTGTGATATCTTTTCAGAATACTCATATGGAAACATAACAAACAGCAAAGAGTATCAGGGAGAAGCTCAGATTTAAGCTAAGTGTTCTGTGGGTGATTTAAAATTGAAGTGTCAATTCAGAGCTGAAATGAAATAGATACAGTTGTCTTTCCGTGCGTCAGACAAACATGCCATACATATCGAGTGGAATCTGACAGGAACTACCATTGTGTAAGTTCCATTATGATAAGGACGTGCCTTAATGGTTCAATATATTAACATAACCACATTTATTCTACTGACAGTCTTTGTTAGACATGTCATCTGAATTGTCTAAAGATCACTCAGATTATTTTTTTTTTAAACTCCTTATAGCTCATGAGTTCTATAACCCACCTCACTCTCATACACACACTCCTATATATCACTGCAATCTGTAAGATACCTTTCAACCAGTAATGCACAGGAAAAGAAAAGATAAACCTGTAACTTCACCTATTGTCTTATTATTGATAGTGTAAAAATTTATCAATTTTAGGGAGATACTTTATGAGCTTGGGGATTGATTTTTGAAAAGCTGACTGGTTGGCAGTAAATCAAACTAATAATACCATTAGTTATGGCATACTTACCACTTTACATGTACCTGTGCCTCTGAAAAGTATTTGAACTGGCTTCTGACAATGTGACATCACAATTATACCTGTATTTATATTGCTTTAGAAATTAATAGCTTTTGGTAAAAAAGGATTGTCGATACAAACATGTTCAAGTTCATTTAATGACTAATAAAGCACCAGAGGAGAGGAACAGAAACAGCACAGTCTATGAAACCAACTGAAGGCTTAAATTTGAATCCTGGCAGACATTTATGCTGTTACAGATTGCTAGCGACTTCTTGTTCCCTTACCTCAAGGACCAGCTCCCCTCCTCAGCACACATACTAACCTTGAAAATTATCATTATCTCTGCCTCTAGCAGCCACCCCACATCAAAACAGTTGTGCCCATGAAGCTGTAACTGCTGCTTGGCCATTTTGCTCCAGATCCAGCTGTTTGGATGGGCAGCAGCTGGGGAGTGGGGAGCGGGAGCGTGGGCTGCCATGGACCCTCTAGACCTGCGCAAGGTGAGTGGACAGGGGTGGAAACCCACCCAATCCCTCATGTGCTGGGGAGAGGGAGGTAAAGCCTTCCCAAAAGCTATCCCTTGCCCAGTCTTCAGAGCTTGAGCCTCAGCATGGGTGTGTGCCAGCAACTTGTGGTGCCGGACTGAGGCTGGGAATAAGCCCCCTCCTGATAAGCTGGGAATGTAAGAGGCTTTTTAATAAGAATACACATCCTAATGATTTTATGAACTATTGAAAGGAAACAAGAGCTGTTTGAAACTCCTAACAACTCTTATTTTGAATGAACTTGCGAAGTATCTACCTCTGAAAGCAGGGCAAAGGTTATAGTTTTAATTACTTTTCCCCAAGTAAAATATAATACATTCACTATTATTCAAATGATCTCTCTTTTATTAAAAACTTTTCATATGAGCTTCGACTATTATCAGATAGATACTGCAGAACATTCTGTATTTGCCATTTTTAAGCTACATTTATTTTTAAACAGCCTGTGATTCACTTTTAGCTCCGGCACAGAACATACAATGTGTTTTCAGATAACATGACACCAACTGGACGGTACTGGATGTATCCCCACACAAAACACGTGTGTATATATATATATTTGCAAGACAACCCTTCACTAGTGAAATTCTGAGGACTGTAAATGACGTGCTGCAGTAGAAAAAAAAAAACAATATTTTTCTTTTCACATGAATTCATCTTGTCTTCTGATTTTTTAAATTGGATGAATACCAGGCTACTTTTACAAAACCAGGTGGGAGCAGCAAGTAGGTTTAACAGTAAGTGTTCCCTTTTAGATGCTAAGCCAGAAACCCTCACCTAAGGGACCTGCCTGCAGAGCACGTGCCAGTGCAAGTCCATCGCACAGAGCTGTGGCCCTCAGCAAGGAGGGCCCACATCTGCAGATGAGGTTTCTGGCTCGTGTCTCTGCCATGCGCTGCACCGTCCTGCCCCTTCCTAGTGAAAAGGTGGGATTGTCTAAGAAAATGGAAAGTGCTCATTTCTTTAGAACCACATAACTGTGAAAAGCTGGGAGATGGCACCATGGAAAACCTTCAGGTTCCTAAAGGATCAACAAACCAAGAACTGTCCCATCTTTCCTGCTGGGTTCAAGAACCGTCTCACCCGTGAAAACCACACACTTGGGTCACTGCTGTGGCACGACCGCATGCCCCCATTTCAAACGCCGTGACAACCTCACCTCCGCAACAACAGTGGCGCTAATCAGACACGCTCTCCGTCAATGTTACATGCAGAGTATGACCAATTTCTTATACACCTCTTCAAAATCAGAAGCTTCCTCTCCCTTGTTCCTCCAGATGGTAGTTTTACAAAACCCACCAATGTGTAGCTGTGCTGGAGCCGCATTCAGTATGCAGAAGCAATATTGCGAACGCACGCCCGCTGAATGCAAAGCTGAATACAAATCCTGCTGGGTGGCAGAATGCCAAATGGAAGAACAAAGTTAAAGAGTTTGAGTGTTCCAGAGGATAAGGACAGTCTTAAACTGACGCCTTCAGTGGTCTCTCTGATGAGGTAATAATGATAATATCTAGCACTTTAATATCATTCTCCATCTGTCAGTTCCAGGATGTTTCACAACTTGTGTTATATTCAGCGTTAGAACATGCCTGGTTTTATTTTGGTTTTACTAACGGGGAAGCTATGATACTTTTCTTTTCATGGCTATTTTTTTTTTCTTCCTGTTTGCATTTCACTTATAAGCAGAAACTGAGCATTCACCCATGTAAGTGTTTGACTGCAAGTTAAAAGACATAGTGAAAGCCACTAATTCTGAGGTGTGTACTGATAACCCTTATCTACACATGTTTAGTGCAAAAACAGAGCAGGGCTGTCTGACTGACAGAAGCTCCTAATGCCCTGCTCAAAGTTCCTAAGGTACTAAGAATAAAGCTAAAGTGCTTTAAACATCAGACCATCGTTCTCCCCATAAGCTTAAAGCAAAAACAAAGCAAAGCATGAAATGCAGAATAGAGTGGTATCTCCCTGCACAAAAACATCTTCCTGCAGGACAATGTGAGTACAGTATTCTAATCACAGAATCACAGAAAATAGTGCTAGAAGGGACCTCAAAAGGTTATTTAGTCCAACACTTTATCTCACAGCAGGATTAGCTATACCTAAATCATTTCTGACAGATGTTTGTCTAACCTCTTCATAACCTCCCTAGGCAATTCTTGTGCTTAACTATCCTTACAGTGGAAAGGGCTTTTTTCCGTAATGTCTCACCTAAATCTCCTTTGTTGTAATTTAAACCTACTACATTTTGCTCTGCTCCCAGTGGACATGAGGAATGTTTTTCTCCTTCTTTACAGAAAAGTTGTACACCAGAAGGCTATTATGAATTTCCTTTCAGGTTTTTTCTTCTTGAGACTAAACAACTAAACCTGAAGGTTGAAAGACTTTTTTCACATGCTGTGTTTTCTACACCTCTGATCATCCTTCCTCCTGTACTCTGGACTATGTCCAATAACCTTCATCATTCTTGAAATATTGTTGCCCCAAAGTCCACAAAATACAGATATTCTTATCTGACACAGCATTCAGGTAGAATCCTTCATCTCTCACAGGACAGAGCATTAAAAAATCCCTAATTATCTGTCTTTTTCACACAAGCTGGTTACGCCACGCAAGACGCAGAAAGAGTGAAATTGATGGACTCTTAACTAGCATCCCAGAAGGTGGCTTTAGGAAGTAATATTTTTTTCTAAGAAGCATTAGGCAGTTTCAAAAGTAATGTGCTGTTAGCAGAAGAATTCCCATGTTATTTTTCTCATTATAATTAAGAACTGTGATGCAACATTTCTCTGAAAAGCCATAAAAGTCCAAATTGTCCTTCCCCTTAAATTCATTTATAATAAATGTTATCATTAAATGAAAGAAAAAAGACAGGTTGCCTTAACTTATTGAAGTAAATACAATAGGTCTAAGAATACTCAAGAAACATCAGGGATTATATAGTGGAGATGAAGACATTAAAACATAAGGAAAAATACACCTGGCTTAGTCACTGAAGCAAGTGCATATCACATATCTCACTACCCCAAGCAAATTCATATCAAGGCACAGCA